CTACAAATATACCACAGCGACTTAAGACTGCTTTTGTGCTCCAGGGTCACAAATGATTTTATTGAACAAAATAGAGCTAATGTACATTACACATGATAACAATTGCCTGCAGAGGGGGCAAAGGCCAGACGATTGTGTTACACTTTACTGCGCAATCTAATCCTTGTTTAATATTGACTAAACCTCATTTAATTCAAATGTCATAAAGAAATGGCCAAATATTAGCGGACATGTCCACATATTCAAGAAATCACAGCGGCTGTAGCATCAAAACATGTAAACTCATGAGACTGAGGGTTTAAACTTATTTTGAAAACACGATGAACAGTTAGCATATTGATAAAAGATATTGATGTATTCTCGTGTTTGCGTAGGTTTGTAAATGATTTCCCTCATTACACATGATAACAATTGCCTGCAGAGGGGGCAAAGGCCAGACGATTGTGTTACACTTTACTGCGCAATCTAATCCTTGTTTAATATTGACTAAACCTCATTTAATTCAAATGTCGTAAAGAAATGGCCAAATATTAGCGGACATGTCCACATATTCAAGAAATCACAGCGGCTGTAGCATCAAAACATGTAAACTCATGAGACTGAGGGTTTAAACTTATTTTGAAATCATGATGAACAGTTAGCATATTGATAAAAGATATTGATGTATTCTCTTGTGTTTGCGTAGGTTTGTAAATGATTTCCCTTACAAATCTGATGAAATGGTTCACATTGCCTTCCCAGATGAATGTTATAATAAACCCAAACTCACAACAGGCAGAGATGGAGTTTGAGACGCTCCACACATGTAAATGATAACAGTTTGTGCGGAGCAGCATTTATTTACTGTGAACGGAGCCTGACACGCACATATGGTAACCTACACACATGTAAATAAAGCGCATGTATCGTAAACCTGCATCACATACATTTGTGAATTCATAAACGCTACGATTCAATTAATAGCATTATGCTTTATGATTTTTAAATGGGTTTAATATCATGCAGCCTTGGAAAACGGTCTAATAATGCATTGCATGGATTCTCATCTGCGAAATGTGCCACTTCCAGTACTTAGCCGATTACTCGATGCGGGCAAAATGAAATTGAGGATCAACCTCACCTGACAGCAGGACGTTTCCCACAAAACTGCGCCGCAGGTCGATATCTGACTGCAGGACGGATCTGAAGACGCTCTCGTGCATCCCATAATGATCTCGCCCGATCAGCTCCGGCCTGAAGAGGATCTCCGGTGCCCTGTGTGACCATATCAGACGGTCAATCTCAATAAAAGTCCTGTGCCACACAAACACACAGACTCACAGCCAAGTACATGTGCATTCTTCATTCAGGGCTAGGGATGGGCAATATGGGCTTAAAAATATAATCACGATCATTTCTGGCATTTATTGCGTAATGTATTGTTGGCTATTGCTACAAATATACATGTGCTACTTATGACCGCTTTTGTGCGCCACATTTTCAGTCACATTTTGTTGTGCATGCATTTTGTTGTTGAGAGAAAAAGCGTGCAGCAATATTTACACATTCATGTTCGCTGATAGTAATCCGCTGCTTGTGTATTTAGAACTTATTTTTATCCCTGAAAGGGATTGGCGATATCTTTGCGATATACCGGTAAAAATTCTCCCCGTGATAAGAA